TGTGTGTGTGTGTGTGTGTGTGTGTGTGTGTGTGTGTGTGTGTGTGTGTGTGTGTGTGTGTGTGTGTGTGTGTGTGTGTGGCAGGGTGGTGCAAGCTGCTCCTTTAGTATGCAGAGCAGGTGTGTCTGCAGAGGCAGAGACGGAGGAGGAGGAGGAGGAGAGCCGTCTGAACGGAGGGACGGTCTGATGGAAGATGATGAAAACGGATGATCAAACTGTTTGGTGGCTTCGTTGAGTGTGTTGAAACTGGATGAATTTTTAAAAATCACCTGCATGCTGTCAAAGTAAATGCACCATTTTATAGGTTTGGCTGGATGAAATGTCCTGCGAAGCCATGCGAGTGTTGAACTGTCTCTCTCTCAGTGAAGCCCCACCCCCTGTAGACACACCTGGTGAGCTGAAAACTGGCACACGTCTCGTTATTATTGCCAACGCAGCAACTCTGCTGCCTGAATATTTACCAGAGAGCAGTTTGTTGTTCAGCTCGGAGTCTGAGGTGGTGCTTGTAGTTTAACCGTTCAGAACCGGGCCGGAGTCTCTGCATGTCTAAGCTCATTTCTCCTGGTGGAGCCTGAAACTCTGCTCAACTGAAGCATTTTTAGAGAGGGCTGAAGAACATGGAGATGCCTGGTTCAGATCAGATAAATGCAGCCGAGTGCAGCTCTCCAGTCTTTATTCTGAAAATATGAGGTGTGTTAATGACAGCTTTATCAACATGTAAACTTTTAAGGCTTTGATCCGTTTCCTTTTTACTATGGAGAGGATTAAAACCAAAGTTAGTTCACTGTGTGCTGCGTAAACACTCACGCCGCCTCTGACTGACGCAGCTTGTTTCTAAAACTGTTGACATGTGTAAGGTCACGCCTTCATGTTTGTGTTCTCACATGTTTTGGACAGAACACTTTACGTCCGCATAGGAAAAAAACAATTGGATCCTGCTGTTCACTCCTGTGGGTTCAACACATGGGAACATAAATACTGTATTCCCAGCAGTGATAATAAACCAAGTTCTTCTTCTTTTGGCTTTTCCCTCTTCAGGAGTCTCCACAGCGATTCATCCTCCTCCATCTCACTCTGTCCTCTGCATCCTCTGTCCTCATGTCCTCTCTAACTGCATCCATAGATCTCCTCTTTGTCTTTTTCTTAATAAACCAAGCTCTAAACAGATATTGGCATATATGCAGGAAGTAAGCTATAGAAGTTATAAAAATATAACATTATGTGATGATAGTTTCACAAAAATGTAGACAAGCGGCTCAAGGACTCCAGACTGTAGAAATCTAGCACATCTGTATGGTTTTATTGTCCGAGTGTGAAAACTGTGACAATTCTCATATTTAGGTTACTTTTGATCAGTGGCGACCACAGACTGTAAATAATGTGTACCTCGGAGCAGAACCTGGACGTTGAAGCTGAAACAGGACCAGGTTCTCTGTTGACTGGTCCCAGCACAAATTTAAGCCCCGCCCCTTCATGTACACTGACAGGACACTGACCCTGTTACAAAATAAAAACACACCTCAGATCATTTTATTGCGGTTTTGACTTGATGCCTGCAGTTCTCACCTTACTGCTGCATGTTCAAAATATTTAATATTCTAACTTGTTTAGCTGTAAATAGTGATTTTATGGTTAAAGAAAGGTCATGTGACACCATGATTGATTGCGTGGGGGGAGTAGGCGGGGCCTAAAGTCCCACATTCCTAATGTGCACAGACTCTGGTTCCAAAAATACAACATGGTAGCTTTCATTAAATGGTTCCTGCTGGTTTCAAGTCTCAACAAGAAAGAAAAGAGACATGGTCTATTATTTTATGTTTACGGGAGGGCTGCAGTAGCTTGGCGGTCATTGTTATAGTCTTGTAATCCTGAGGTTGCAGGTTTGAGCCCAGGTTGCGTTAGGAAGGGCATCCAGTGTAAAACAAATTTGCCAAATCATTCATGTGCGTTTGCTCGCTGTGGTGACCCCTGAAGCAGGGAGCAGCTGAAATAAACTAGTTTGTTTATGCTTGTGACTCACCAGTATCACTCCTATCTGATTATTGGTGATAGTCTGATGGTTGTAAAGTGTCTGTTCAAGAGAACAAAATTACTGAAGTGTTTCCTCACCAGGAAGAGTTTTTTTTTCAAAATAAACTAGTTTTCTTGCTTTACATGTGCTTCTTTGTCCGCTGTCTCTTTAAGACTGTCGTTAATGTCCTGCCGGTCACTGGATTAAACGATCTGTTGTAATAGTTGGTTAACAAAGTGTTTCCTGCAGGAGTTTGTTGTAATACATGTGACCATAACACAACTCTTGGTACCAGAAAGTTGTTCTGCCCCAAAAGATTCTGATTCGTCGGTGATAAATCTGTGCAGCTAAGTAAAGCGTTAAAAATAAATCCATAAAAACAGGATGCAGCTTGTCACTGCGAGATGATCAGCTATCAAACTTGTTTGTGTGTTTATTGATTTTTGTTGTTGTAAAGCATTTTTCTGTCACACATGAGAGGAGAGCGGTAATAACGTAGCTTTGAGTCCTTTCATCAGTTTGTTTAGAAGCACATCAGGGCGTCCAGCTGTGAGTCTGACTATTTTTAGCTAAACGCTTCATTTGTTTCCTCGTCTGAGCTGTTAAATTCAGTTTGAAGCAAACCTGGACTTAATGTTGAGTAGCTTTTATTAAAGATGATTTTTTTATGGGTTTCAGTTTGATGATGTACTTTGAAAGTCTGTAATCAGAGCTCAGCCGATTCACTCATTCACTCAGTGACAGAAGTCATTTAGACTCTCATTCATCCATTATTCACTAATTTCAATACACACCTAATGTTATTTGTTAAGCAAAGTAAAAGTACAGCCCGTCAGTTTGCTGTATCTATTCAGGAGAGCGTGTGTTTGTGTGTTTGGGTCGTTGCTTTTTAAGCTACAAGTCAGGTCCTCAGTGGGCCACCTGACAGGAAAGAAAACACGTGAAGTGAACAGGTGTGTCGTTTAGGTCTAAAGACAGAAAAGCATACCTTTGGACCGGGGTGTGGTGGTGTCCTCAATACACGAGGTGTGTGTGAAAATGTTTTTAAACTCTGCTCAACATCGGTGCAAAGTATTTTTCCACAGTTCTGCCCCACTGTTCATGGTTGGATCACATCAGCTGTGTTCTGATGCCACTGGAGTAGTGGTGAAAAACACGAACGTTAGCTCATTTCATGGACCCAAATAAATTAGATTTATGAGTTTCACACTGAAGTTTTATTGGACTATGTAACAACCAAACTCGGTGGCGGAAAGTAATAAGTTTAAAAAATAGACAATAATAATATAATAACTAATATAAAAAGACGTTATGTTAAAGGAGTAGAGAAGTGAAATATCAAAACAAATAACTTTCCAACCACACCACAGACGCAGTCTGTCACCTTCGGTTTCAGTTTTGATGGCTTTACGTTGAGAAATGTTCAGCTGATGTAGATATTTATGGTATCGGTTTATAACAGAAAACAGTCTCAGGGCCATTTTTATTTCTGACAAAATATTTACTGTGTTGGAGCAAGTTAATTTTCAAGTCTTTATGATCAATTAAGGCAGACGGAACCTTGATTGAAATCTATTCAGCATGTGTGCAAAGTTCACAGAGAGAAAAGAATGTTCTCACGGCGCACCAGCGTCTGCTGGGACGTGATGGGCTCTCAGACCTCCTCACAACTAAAATTAGTTTTTAGTTTTTTGCGTACTTTGATCATTTTCACAGATCTGTGAGACACTCCAGTTTGGAAATAATCAGAATTATCTTTAGGATATTTACAATCAATGTTGTTTTTTTTTAGATTAAATTAGTAGAAAAAAAAGAATAAATTAATTAGGTGTTTTATATTTAATAATAAAGATGGTTTTGTTTGATGTAATTTCTCAGTAACAGAGATCAAAACGTCCTGTTTTTATTGATGACAATCTTTCTATACCATAAAAATAAACGGTGCAGATGATTCGAGGAGAGCAGAGATTTACTGAGCATCAGAGGAGCAACATTAATTGATGATCAGTTTATACCAGCCCCTTTAATATCATGACACAAGAAACTCCTCTAATTGGCTAAATTAGTCTCTGTGCTATTAATTAAAACTAGAGTGAGTCCTGAACTCTGATGTTTGGTTGGTCTATGTTCAGATGATTTCCCATCTCTGATTTCTAAGAATGTTTCTGTTTCCGTTTCCTTTGCAGTGGGAAGCCAATGTTTACTTCCTTGTTTCCATGGTAACCAAAAGGAAAATGCACGTCCACGTCTGGATTTAAACTCGCTTATTTGTCTCCTCCAACCACCTCCTGTGAAAACTACACTACCCACAATTCCTGTGAATTGACGGTCATTATTCAGAGAAACAACTCTACTGTAACGAGCATCAACATGGCCAATAACACGGCCGACCACCCGCCGGGAAATTCAGTCGCCGAGGGGAACCATGACGGGGACTTTGGGGTGACAATGGAGGATCTAAGGGACCTCATGGAGCAGCGGAGCTCCGAGGCCGTCAGCAAGATCCAAGAGGGGTTCGGAGACGTGCAGAGCATCTGCCGCCGCCTGAAAACATCACCTATTGAAGGTAAGGTCCTGTTAGTCCACCAAACCAGACTTTATTTAGAGAACTACATTATGTATTTATAAAAATGACAACAACTTAAACATAAGTATTCCTGACTCAGACTCAGGCACATGTATTTACACATAACTGTATAGATTAAATAGACCCAAACCTGACATCAGGTAAGTTTCTGATCAGAATGCTGCCGTTGTGAACGAGACAAACAGTCCTTAAAGCAAAAACACACTCAAGTTCACTGTTTTCACCTCAAACACAACCATGACAAGCCTGTAGGCCGCTCCGCCATCTTGCAACATCTTGGACACAAACTCTGCCTATGGAGAGGACCTTGCTGTAGTTTCTGCATTCAATCAGACGGAAAACCTGTTATACTAACTTTTGTTGTGGCATTTCTCTGCAGTATGACGATATTGGCTTCTGCCTCACCTCTGTCGTTTTTTTAAATGTAACCCCAGAAACATGGCCGAGTCATAATCTTTGCTTCATTATGTGAGCTCCATAACCCCCCCCCACAACCAACAATAACATTTGTTGACAGTACAGGTAGAATAATTGTAATCTGACTGCAGGTCCTTGAAGCTTCAGGTGCTCTGTGGTTGGTTATTTCTTGATTAACCATCAGCACAGATGCTCGTTGTCTCGTCTCCACATCTGCCTGCCGATAAAACGAGAGCAGAGCAGCTGAATGAAAGTCTGATTGCTCATCTTCATTTATCGTGTTGACCTCCTGGTGTTCTGCCTAATCTGCTGCTGTCTGCGCTTCATTTTCAACACTCAGCATGGCGTTGGGATTTTATGACTGAACTGTGACACAGCAGCGTAAAAACACTCTGCAGGGGTAATGTGCGTGTCCCGTAACTCCTGCTCTCATTAGATGATAGAAACACCTCTGTAATTACTGACCGACACACACAAAACAACACGTGCTAGTGTGCGTGTGTGTCTCTGACCCAACCAGCATAATGTTTTGGTAAAAGATGGAAACATTCCTTATTTATTGAAAAATGACGATCAGTTTGGGTTTCAGTCAGAGCTCAGAGTGAGACCAGAAAATGGCCGACATGCTGCTGTTTATTCCTCCCTCCCTCATCCTTTGATCTGTGTGTGTGTGCGTATGTGTGGGTGTGTGTGGGTGTGTTGCCATCGGTCCATTCCAGGATTGAAATTAGTTCCAGCCCGTTCCCCTAATGGCTCCATAGATCATTGCTCTGTTCCATTTAGTAATCAGAGGACATTTGTAGTTGCGTCCTCTACGTAAGAAATTACTCACTTTAATGAAAGAAGTGTAATTATATTTTCACTGCAGATAGAGACGGGGGGAGAGAAATGGGTGGAGGGATGGAAGATTGAGAACAAACACAAAACAAGACGGTCAGCCTGGTGTAAGTGTCAGATAATATTTGTCTACCTGTAGTCAAATATTGGGCTTCAGTTTGTGTGTGAAGACAGTGGATTTTAGAGACACTGGTTTTGAAGTCAAACAGCAGAGGGTCTGGCTCTAAAACACGAGGAGTCCCTGTTTCAGCTGGACATTGCCCAGTGTCAGCATCAGACAAGATGGTGGGACCTGATTGGTCCGGGACACCCTGATGAGTATTTTTTTTATTTAATTACATGATCACAATCTTTTTTTTTAATGCAGAAACTGGTTCTAAACCTTTTCTGCCTCCAGTAAAACCCACAGTGATTACATCTGACTCATACAGCCACTGGTCATCGTGATACAAGACAATAAAGGATAAAGATCTGTTTGTTTGAACAAACCCTGATACATGTTGGGTCTTTCAGTTCATAAAGACACGTATTAAATTACAAAACTCCATACAGGAAGCTGGAGCCATTACAGCATCTATCCAGGATGGAACCAGTCCAAATTTGATGTCCTGTCCCTCCATGAAAACAATTAAGATGTTATTAGTTTAAAAAAATAAAAATAAAATGAAATTGGTAGGCAGGGTGCTCAGTTCTGTTGACCGGGCTGAGCGCCCTCCTTGGATAGTGGTAGGAGAAACTGCATTTAATTTAAAACATTTCAAGATTACCTGTTGTGGTAACACCAGATTTACAAAATCAGCTACTAGGGAGCACAAGCCAGTGTATTGCTTGTGCCATCCCGAGCCCGGGTAAATGGTGAGGGTTCTTTCAGGAAGGGCAACACTTATGCCAAAACTAACATTCAAGTTCATCCAAGCGACACCATACTGGATCTGTCGAGGCTCTGGTTAACAATGACCCCCACCGGTGATGTTGACAAACAGTTTGCTAGTGGAAATTGCGCTACTGTTAGTTGAAGACCACGAAGAGGGAAAAGTATCAGAAGACAGAGGGAGAAGAGGAAAGTCAAGAATGTAGGATTGAGAATGGTAACTCTAAATGTGGGGACAATGACGGACAAATGTAGAGAGCTGGCTGACATGATGCAGAGAAGGAAGGTACATGTTTTATGTGTCCAATATTAATAATAATATATTTGTAGGTGCCTTTCTTGGCACTCAAGGTCACCTTACATAGTAGAGCATAAAAACAGACACAATATTATATACACACAGTAAAAATGACTACAAAATAGAATTTAAAAAAGACAGTGCATTTGCAATCACAGTGCGTAATCCACTTTAACAGATGAGTTTGGATTTGAAATGTGGCAATGAGTCTGTGTTGCGACTGTTGTGGTGTGTCTTGGTCCAAGAGACCAAGTGGAAGGTCAGCAAGGCTCGCAGCATTGGACTCGGAGCAGGGTTCAAACTGTTTTACCATGGTGTGGATAGAAAGAGAAATGGAGCAGAGGTGGTCCAGAAGGAGGAGTTGGCAAAGAATGTAGTAGAGGTGAAACGAGTGTTGGATAGGGTGATGTATCTGAAGGTAGAAGTAGAGGGTATGATGCTAAACATCGTCAGTGGTTATGCTCCACAGGTTGGATGTGATGGGGAGGAGAAAGATACGTTTTGGAAAGATTTGGATGAAGTGATGAGTATTCCCAGGGAGGAGAGAGTGGTGATCAGAGCAGACCTGAATGGACACATTGGTGAAGGAAACGGAGGGGATGAGGAAGTGATGGACAGGTTTGGTGTCAAGAGACCAGGAATATTACCAGTGGTGGTGGATTTTGCCAAGCGAATGGAAATGGCTGTAGTCAACACTTATTTCCAAAAGAGGGAGGAACATAGAGTGACCTATAAGGGTAGAGGAAGGAGTACGCAGGTCGACTACATTCTGTGTAGAGGAGGAAACCTGAGGGAGATTGGAGACTGTAAGGTTGTGGCAGGGGAGAGCATGGCCAGACAGCATTGGATGGTTGTGTGTGCTAGAATGACTGTTGTGAAGAAAGAGTAAAATCAGAAAAGAAGACCAAATGATGGAAGCTGAAGAAAGAAGAATGTTGTGAGAAATTCAGAGAGGAGCTGTTAAGACTCTGGGTGGTAAGAAAGAGCTTCCAAATGATTGGACTACTACAGCAACAATAATTAGAGAGACAGGTAGGAAGTACTTGGTGTGTCATCTGGACAGAGAACATACGATAAGGAAGCCTGGTGGGGGAATAGTGAAGTGCAGGAAGCTGTTCAAAGAAAGAGATTAGCCAAGAAGGAATATGACAGAGGACTGAAGAGAGGAGACAGGAATATAAGGAGATGGGACGTAGAGCAAAGAGGGAGGTAGCTAAGACAAAACCAATTGCGTATGAGTTGTACAAAAGGCTGGGCAGTAAAGAAGGAGAGAAAGACGTACTAATTAGAGAGAGTGATCAGGCTGGAAAGGATATGCAGCAGGTTAGGCTTGTTAAAGGTAGAAATAGTAATGTTCTAACAAGTGAGGATTGTGATGGGACGAGGGAAGGAGTACTTTGAGAAGTTAATGAATTAATATGATGAAAGTAAAATAGATGTCATAGAAGCTGTAGACCTGAAAGTGGGACTGATTAGTGAGGGTGAAGTTTGGAAAGCTCTGAAAAGAATGAAGGGGTAGTTGAGTTGCATTCGGGCCTAATAAATTTGGACTCGACCGAGCCTGTAGTTTTTTTTTTTCCGAGCCCTACCCGAACCCAACAGATTACCGGTAATTAGAGGTCCGAACCCGAAAAACACTTTTTTTTTTTTTTTTTTTAAACTTTTACTGCTTTTGTAAGTAAATCAGTTTGACATTATACTTTTTAAAAATGTAATGAAAGGAAAATATAAGATTTCTTTTTATTAACAAATCAGCAAATGGATATTAATATACAAAACAAATAGCCTAAAAAAATCAACTCTAAAGATTGGCTGTTATACAGATGAACAAAAATATTTTTAGAGCGAAATTATTTGGAAAAATATAGAACAAGGCTATTTTAATTGAACGCGCTGCTCGCTTCGGCTTTTGTAGATGCTGCTACTTCCTTCACCGCAGGTGCAGAGACGTGCGCAGCCGGCGATCAGCTGATTGATCCATCCATTACCTTTACCCGCTTCTTCCTTTTCGGGTAACGGGGGTCACTGGTGCCCATGTCAAGCAATCACTGTATGAAAGGTGGGGTACACCCTGGACAGATAGCAAGTCTATTTCAACCGGCGAGTCAGGGGACGTGCACGGCTGATGACAGGTGTCCATCTGAGCTTAACGCAACTTTTTAAAAACTTCTTTAAACTGGCCGGTCGGACCTGCCTCCTCCTCAAGTAGATTAACACAATTTTATATTGTGCATTCTTAGTTTTATTTGTGTTGTATGATTAATAAAACCTCATCAAATCCCGAGAATTGCCCGGCCCGCACATTAATCACATTATAACGGCCTGGACCAGCCCTAATCCGGGTCAGTCCGGGCCGGGTTTCGGGTTTGTGTTAGAAATGACAGCTCTAAGAGGAAGGCAGTAGGACCTGATGACGTTCAAGTGGAGGTTTGGAAATGTTTTGGAGAGATGGCAGTGAGGTTTTTGACTCAAATATTCAATGACATATTTGACAGTGAAAATACCTGAGGAATGGAGAAGTGTGCTGGTGCCCATTTTTAAGAACAAGTGTGATGT